AGAGGTGTTGAAGGCTCTAAATGCTCGTGGCAGGCATGATGGACAGGACTTCATTACATCTGTCATCAATTCATTCCTTGGGCATTCTCTATCGCATCAGCATGCCCCTATCACTCTGTCTCTGTGTCCCCCCCATCCCCCCTCTCTCTCTCTTTCTCTATTTCTCTCTCTCTCTCTCTCTTTCTCTCTTTCCCTCTCTCCACTCTCCCTCTCTTTATTGTTGTTGCTGCTTGTTGTCTTACTTCTTTTGTTCCTCTCTTTCTCTCTCTCTCTCTCTATATATATGTATCTCTTTCTTTCTCTCTCTCTCTCTCTCTCTCTCTCTCTCTATATATATATACACACATCGGAGTAGGCCCGGGGGCGGGGGTGGGATGGTGCCACCAGTTGGCATGGCCGCCCGGGCGTCCTGTGGGGTCCACGAACCCACCCAAGACGGCCCATGAGGCCCCAAAGGCAGCCCAAGAGGCCCACAAGACAGCCTCAGCGAGGCCCAAGAGGGCCCCAAGACGCCCAAGAGCGCCCCAAGAGGGCCCGAGATGGCTTGAAGATGGCCGAAGGGGGCCCCAAGAGGGCCTTCAAAAGGCAAACATCGGCCCACTCCCTCCGTAAAACGTACATTTTCAGCATACTCGCTTGCTTCGTCTTCACAGTGCTCCAGACGCCCCCGAGGAGCCCCAAGACAGCCCAAGACAGACCCAAGAGGGCCCAAGACCGCCCAAAAGGGTCGTCCTGTGGGGCTCACGGAGCCCCCAAAGCCGGCCCAGGAGGGCCCCAAGACGGCCTCAGGGAGGCCCAAGAGGGCCTCGTCAGCGAAATCATGTTCCCGGAAGCCTCTCCGAACATGATTTCCGTTTTCCCAGAACGCCCAAAGGCAGCCCCCAGAGGCCCCAGACACGCCGAAGATGGCCTCAGGACGGCCGACGGCGCCGCCAAAACGCCCCAAGAGCGCTTCCAGAGGCCCCTCCAAAGGGCCCCAGGAGCCGAAAACCATTCATTTTTCAATGGTTTTTGAAGCATGTCTGCGCTCTCCCATGATCCGCCTCCCCACGGCCCTGGACCGCGTCAGAGGCCCAAGAGGCTCCCGAGAAAGCCCAGAGACGGCCCAGGAGGCTCCCCAGATTAAGTCAAGAGGGCCTCAAGAGCGCCCCAAGAGAGCCCCAAGAGCGACCCAAGAGGGCCCGAAGAGCGCGACATTTCAAGGTCTCCGGCCTGAGAGGCTCCGAGGACGCCCCCGGAGGCCATCAAGAGGCTCCCAAGAGGCCCCCCGGAAGCCCCAATATGCCCCCAAAGTGCCCCCAGGGAAGCCCCCTACGGGCCCCCAAGACACCTCGGTAAATCGTATTTCCCAGACAGCTTTCCGGGAACATGATTCCTTGAGCTTCCGCCCACCGCCCCAACCATGTTTCCAATAGGCTTGCCGACAAGGCCAAAAGGCGTCCCTCGGTAAGCCCCCAGAGGCTCACCTCTTAAGAGAGCCGAACAAGACATGCTCCCGGAAAGCCTCCTGGGAGCATGATTCTCTATCTCGGAGCAATTGCCATGCTTCTGTATCATAGATGTATGTCTCTCTCCTCTCACTCTCTCACTCTTTATCACACTCTGTATATATGTGTTTGCCGTTATATGACTTAGCTAGTTTCCGTTCTCTCTCTCTCTCTCTCTCTCGTTTCTTCCCTCCCTCTGTCTCTCTCGCTCTCTCTCTCTCTCTCTCTCCCTCCCTCCCTCCCTCCCTCCCTCCCTCCCTCCCTCCCTCCCTCTCGCTCTCGCTATATATATATATATATATATATATCGCCATCACTATCTCCATATAAATGTGTTTCTCTCTCGCTCTCTCTCTCTCTCTCTCTCTCTCTCTCCCTCTCTTTATATATATATATGTATATTTCTCTCCCTCTCTTTCTCTCTCCCTCTTTCTCCCTCTGTCTCTCCGTTTGGGGCCATGGGCACTTCGTGGGCGCCTCGCGCCATTTGCACGACATTGCTTGCGTTACGCCGCTCATTCGCATCACTATTCTTGTCGGTTGCAGCAGGAATGGATTGCCTCACTTTGAGTGCGAGCACGACGTGTTTCGCTGTGCGCGCGCCTGAGAGTGCTGCGGGCCTGTCGAAGCTGAGCACGCAGTTCTCTGAGGCCCCCCTCCCCGCGCGGCTGCCCTCCCCCTTGCGCGCGCGCAGAACCCAGCCGAGATCAGCGGGCTGTTCGCCCGGGCGCTGACGGAGGACAGGGAGAGGCTCGCGCGCCCAGGGCCAGAGGATGAGGGGGGGGGCGAGTGGGCGAGGAGGGGGAGGGGAGGGAATGGCGGGGAAGGAAGAGAGGCGAGGAGGGGAGTGGCGGGGAAGGAGGAGAGGCGAGGAGAGGAGAGGCGAGGGAATGGCGGGGAAGGAGGAGAGGGAATGGCGGGGAAGGAGAGGAGGGGAGGGGAGGGAGGGAGGCGAGGAGGGGAGGGGAGGGGAGGGGAGGGGAGGGAATGGCGGGGAAGGAACAGAGGCGATGCGGGGAGGGGAGGGAATGGCGGGGAAGGAAGAGAGGCGAGGAGGGGAGGGGAGGGAATGGCGGGGAATGGTGAGCGGGGGGGCCAGTCCAGAGGAGAGGCGGGGGGGGTGCATGCCATGCATACACTGTCGTGAGAGGCCCAGAGGCTGGACGCTTGCAGCAGTTCGAAAAAATCCCACCTGAGCTACACTCCTAACGGAGGTGGCGAGGGAGGGAGGAAGAACAGGGGAGATGGAGAGAGCGGGAGGGGAGGGAGGGAGAGACAGGGCCTTGTGGAGATTTCGAAGACGATTAAGTCTGTCAGCAGGGGCCGGCACGCAAACTCGCAGAACGCTTGTCAGGGTAAAGACTCTGCACGGGCACCAAGGAGTTTTGAGAGCAGTGTCCGTCCCATCCCTAAGTCGGCATCCCTCCAAAAGACCTCACTTCTCAAATCAAGCAGCTGGGCAGGCATAGGGTCGTACGGCACTCGGCCACTCGGGAGGGGGAGGGAGGGAGGGAGAATGCACGAGATCGAGCAGGAGAGAGTAAGATTGGGACACAGACCTAAAACCCTGAGCCTCAGGAGAAAGCGGCGCTCAATTCGCCAAATGACACAGAGCTGATCCCCAAACAGTGCACAGAGGGCGCTGACTGAGGAAACAGCACCGGCATGAACATTCGGCACGGGGGCCAAGAATAGCTCAAACAGCAGTACAAACAACAACGGCGAAGCCGACGGGACGCGTCGTCCCGAAGCGCCGGGGCCAGAGAGGGAACACTTCCAACCCAAACCGTCCACTCCCCGCACTCCCAAGATTCCCTCCTCCACTTCAAGAAGCGTGGGTGGCATCGGCTCAGTTTCCAGGCAGACAGACTGACTGGGGAGCTCGGCCAGTCATGAGGGAGGGGGCAGGAGGGGCGAAGGCGGGGCGAGAATGCCGAGGAGAAGGGAGTAGGGCTGGGACACAGACGACATCCTTAAGCGGCTCAGCAATACAATGATGCCGCGTGGAGGCTGGAGGCACCACAGAGGGAATTACCACACGGAGATCTCTGCCAGGATAAGCGCAATCCAATCGAACGGTGGTTGAGAAAGAACATCTATCTTCGCACCCACGCCCATCACGAGCCACGCCCATCACGAGCGACGACGGACGGCGGCAACACAACGCGGATTTGTCAGAGCGCCCCGGCAATGGGAAAGATCGTCGCTTCCAACATGGCGGACGCTAAGGAGAAGCAAGTGACAGAAGTGACAGAAACGGCAGGATTGTTCATAAGTGCCGCCTCCAGGAGTAATGTGAGCGCGAGATTAGGAACGCAAGTTACACACAGCCAAGGAAAGTTGCTACCATTGCAGTCTGGTGCCCGCTGCAATTCTCTCAGCTACAATTATTTCAGCAAACGTGGCATCCACATCAAGTGAGGGGGGCCGAGGTGGAAGAGGAGGTGCGGGAAGGGGTCCTGAACGCACCCACCTACGCATTGGCATCCGAAACATTTCTTCGTTCACTCTGCCGTCGAATGGCTCTCGGCGAATGGTATTAGGCGTAGCTACCAGGACTCGGCGTATCTTAATATAGTTCCACTACAAGGTCATTCCCAACTCCAGTACATATTTGCGAAAAGCGGCCAGCTGGAGGGGAGCTCTAGCACGCAACCGCGACATTCGACATCTCGGATCGACAGCAACAGGTTCTGCGACGGCCACCGGGAGCTTTACAGAAGCAGCCGCCAGCTCCAGAGCAGCGCCAGCGCCAGGAGAGACTGGGGCTGCCGCGACGACGGCCACTGGAGCTCCAGGGGGTCTGTTGCTGCTTCGGTCGACATCTCCAGCGACGTCCGCGGGGTGGGGCCCGTAGGCAGCCTCGCCACCTCAGGGGCCGTTGGGGGGGAGGGGCCTGCCCACCACCGCGTCGCGACCAGCATGAGGTTCAGCTGCGGCAGCAGTTCATCCGGACATGGCGTCAGCCACGGTAGCACTCTGGCTCTCGGCAGCGGTCATGAGTCATGAACGCTGCCACGCCAGCAGCACGCGCCAGCTTGGCAAACTCGTCGTCCGCATCGCCACCACCGGCATCGGCAGCATTACGCGGCGATCGCGCAGCAGATTTGGGACCACGGCACGCTCGCCGAGATCGGTTTGCGCTGGCGCAGCCCAACGTTTTGGCATACGGAGCCCATCGCGAAGCGGCTGCACAACGCGAGCTGCAACTTCGACGACGGCGGCGCCCACGACATCCAGGTCGCCGTCGGCGCCGCTCGAGGTGCCCTTCGAGCGGCGCGGGCTGAAGCTTCGACTTTGGAGCCTCCGAGGCGGGTGAAAACGCAGCGTGTCCTCACCTCCCCTTTGCGTTCCTCCCTTTTCCCTGACGTCATTGACCTGATCGCTCGTCGTTTCGAAGTTTGGAAGGTCCCCCTCTCGGTCGAGCCGAATGGTGTGCCCTGCGAGACCTCTTAGCCTCGGGAGCCCCCCCAAGCTGGCAAGCTGCTGCGATTGAAATTTCGGGCGAGGGATGGCTCACGAGCAGCAGATTGTACACCCAGGGAGGCAGCAGGCGTTGTTTGTTCAGCTGTGATGCGCGCCGCCTGCCTCCGCGCGCCCTGGACCAGTTTTCCCATTGCGTGCGTTGTCCAGCCCTGAGGAGCCTCGTCTATCATCCCTCTTTGCAATCCTTGGGGTCGCAGCGTATCGAATAGGCCTTGGTGGTGAGCCGTCTCTTGAGGATGTGGAAAGGATCGCGCTGGCTTTTCATCTGCACAACACCCTTCGAACCCAGCCGACCCTCCCCCTCGATTGTGATTCAGCGCAGCACGAGCGGCACTACTATCATGCACGGCGCGCTGCACAAGCTCTCGTTGACAGATCCCGCGCCCCGCTCTCATCTCGCACGAGTTTGCATTAGGTGCTAGTCGTGTAGATAGAACCCCTGCCCCATTCTAATCGCGCGCGCTCCTGCACTCAGTGCTCGTTGTATTGCCCGCTGTTTGGAGGCACCTTTGCGGTCCGTGGCACCTCGCCCCCTCTCGCGACGGATCTGAGCGGCCTGCCGCGCGGGGGTGCTACTCGCGAGCCTGGCCCCGCGGGGGGCGCCCTCGGCCCTCGTCGGAGCGCGGCTCGAGGTGTTTTGGGAAGTGCTGCGCCTGACCCGCGGGGGGTGCCATCACGGGCGGATTGGCCCTGTGGACGGTTCCGCCCACTCCCTCACGGACTGCGTCTTCCAGGAGCGGCCGCGCCGCCTTGCCCCGCCGCCGCCGCCGCTTCGCGCCGGCCGCCGTAGTGGAGCGGTCTGGTTACGAGCGATACATATATACATATGTATATATATATGTGCATATATACCTATATTCAAACATATATACGCATAGAGGGAGGGGGACGAGAGAGAGAGAGAAAACAAAAAAAAATAGAGATACTATACGATACAATCTAAAGAGGGGAGAGAAGATAATGAGAGAGAGAGAGAGTACAAGAGAGAAAGGGAGAGAGAGAGAGAGGGCCAGAGGGAGTGAGAGAGAGAGAGAGCGTGAGCGAAAGAGAGGGTGAAACAGAGCGATGCAGAAAGAGAGAGAGAGAGAGAGAGCGAGAGAGAGAGAGGGCGAGAGAGAGAGAGATATAGAGAGCGAGAGAGAGAGGCATATACAGTGTGTTCGCACATCAGACCAGCCGATTTGCACAGTGATGTGTTATGTACATCATATATGCGTGTGCGTGCGTGCGCGCGAAATGAGAGAGAGAGAGAGCGAGAGAGAGAGAGAGACGAGCGATAGGCAGGGGATGTAATCACGCGGAGAAGAAAGGGAGGGGCGAGAGAGAGAGAGAGAGATAGAAAGAGAGGGATATTCAAAGAGAGAATGAAAGGAGAAACAGAGAGAGAGAGGAAGAGAGAGAGAGGGAGAGAGAGAGAGAGAGGAAACAACTACTGGCGACGCACCCAACCCCTGCGCAGAGCGGGGCATGAGTAGGTTGGGGGACGTTATACGGACGTGATGACGTGACGTGGGCGCGTATACTTTTGCGAGCGGCGTTCGCGACGTTCGCAGCCCCCCAGGATTGCGAGGTCCCGTTCAGACCTGCGCGGTGCTTCACTCCGCTGGACCCGCCACCAGCCTTCGAACGTAGCGACACCTCTGCAGATCGCAGCCACTCAATGACGGCGAGGTCCCGCTCAGATGCGCGCGGTGCCTCAGTCTGCTGGAACCACCAGCAGCCCTCGAAAGTAGCGACGGTTTCGCAGATCGTAGCTTCCCAGGGACGGCGAGGTCCCGCTCGGATCTGCGCGGTGCCTCACCCCGTTGGACGCACATAGCAGCCCTCGAAAATGGCGACGGTTTCGCAGATCGCAGCCCCCCGGGCACGGCGAGGTCCCGCTCAGATTTGCGCGGTGCCTCATTCCGCTGGACCCACCAGCAGATCGCAGCCCCCCAGGGACGGCGAGGTCCCGCTCAGATTTGCGCGGTGTCTCACCCCGCTGGACCCACCTAGCAGCCTTCGCAAGTGGCGACAGTCTCGCAGATCGCAGCCCCCCAGGGACGGCGAGGTCTCGCTCGGATCTGCGCAGTGCCTCACCCCGCTGGACCCACCAGCAGCCCTCGAAAGTGGCGACAGTTTCGCAGATCGCAGCCCCCCAGGGGCGGCGAGGTCCCGCTCAGATTTGCGCGGTGCCTCACCCCGTTGGACCCACCAGCAGATCGCAGCCCCCCAGGGACGGCGAGGTTCCGCCCAGATTTGCGTGGTGCATCACTCCGCTGGACCCACGAGCAGCCCTTCGAAAGCGAAAGTGACAACATCTCCGCAGATCGCAGCCCCCCAAGGACGGCGAGGTCCCGCTCAGGTCTGCGCGGTGTGTCACCCCGCTGGACCCACCAACAACCTTCGAAAATGGCGACAGTCTCGCAGATCGCAACCCCCCACGGACGGCAAGGTCCCGCTCAGGTTTGCGCGGTGCCTCATTCTCTGGACCCACCAGTGGGGCGCGGCGCTGTCTCTCCAAAATGAAGACCCCAATCACAAGATGGTTGGGAACATCAGCTTGGCGAAAGACCCAACCATGTGCATTTGTGGGCACCGCCGTTGAGAATGCACCGGATTCGGTGGAGCTCCCTGTGGGGCCACGAAACGTGTGAGGGGTGTGGCAAATTGTGTGCGGTGGGCGCATACGAGCACTAGCATTTGGGCCTCCAGTGGAGCTCGGGGGCCACGAAAAGTGTGAAGGCTGTGCCAAAATGGGTACCGTGGCCGCATGCGAGTGCTGGCATGTTGGGCCTTCGGTGGAGCTCCCTATGGGACCACGAAATGTGTGAGGGGTGTACCAAAATGCGCGCGGTGGGCGCATGCGAGCGCTGGCATCTGGGCTGTCGGTGGAGCTCCCTGTGGGGCCACGGAGCGTGTGCAGGGTGTGCCACAATGGGTGCGGTGGGCGCATGCGACCGCGGGATCTGAACCTTCGGTGGAGCTCCCTATGGGGCCACAAAGCGTGTGAGGCGTATGCAAAAATGGGTGCGGTAGCCGCTTGCGAACGCTGCCCTTTCAGCCTTCGGTGGAGCCCCTTGTGGGGCCACAAAACGTGTGAGGGGTGTGCCAGAATGGGCGCAGTGGCCGCATGCGAGCGCTGGATCTGGACTTTCGGTGGAGCTCCTCCCTATGAGGCCACGCAACGCGTGGGAGGTGTGCCAAAATGGGCGCGGTGAGCACATGCATGCGCTGGCATCTGGGCTTTCGGTGGAGCTCCCTACGGGGACACGCAACGTGTGAGGGGTGTGCCAAAGTGGACGCGGTGGGCGCATACGAGCGCTGGCATCTGAGCATTCGGTGGAGCTCCCTATGGGGCCACGAAGCGTGTGAGGGGTGTGCCCAAGTGGGTGCGGTGGCCGCATGCGAGCGCTGGCATCTGGGCCTTCGGTGGAGATCCCTATGGGGCCACGAAACGTGTGAGGGTTGTGCCAAAGTGAGGGGGGTGACGGCAGGAGGGAGGAGGAGGTGGAGGAGCGGGAGCAAGAGGAGGAGAGGAGGAGGAGGAGGAGGAGGAGGAGGAGGAGGAGGAGGAGGAGAGGAGGAGGAGTCGCGGGGATCTCTCTTCAACACGAGGAGGAAAAATGAGGAGGCGGAGGGAGGGAAACGGTGGAGAAGGAGGGGGAAGACGACGACGACGAGGATTTCGGTAACGACGGCTCGTCATCGAGAAGCCGGTTCGCGCGGCAGCCCCTCGAGGCTCGCGCGCCTGTACCAGCACGTCCACTTCGCCATCCCGCGCGCGGGCGCGGACCGTCGGGCGGAGGCGCGCGGTTTTGCCTTCCGCACTGCTGCTCACCACCCCGCAGCACGAGCGTCAGCAGCAGCAGGCCGCACAGATGGCCCCAGCGCGACAGCGGATTCTCAGCGCATTCCCACGGTATTCCTCCCTCTCCTGTCCCTTCTCCGCGTCCCCCGCCTCCTCTTCCCCCCTCGCCCCGCCCCCCCAGGATCAAGGACGAGGGGGCGGGAGGAGGAGGAGGACGATGAGGAGAAGGATGAGGACGAGGAGTAGGAGGAGGAAGGAGGAGGAAGAAGAGGAGGTGGTGTCATCGCGTACTCGAGGCCCGTTCGGCCTTCCTTACCTCCCAGCCGGGTGTTCCCTCGGTCGCCCTCGAGGGGCATCAGTAGTTTGTCGTTCGCTGAATGATGTGTGCTACTTGAGATCTGTTGAAAAATGACGAGGGGGGTGCAGGGAGTGCCAACCGTGTGTTACTGTTCCGCTAGGTGCTCGGATGTGCTGAAGATCTATCAGGGCTTTCTGTTGGTTTAGGTGTGAGGAGGGCCCTCCTTCTTTCTCTTCGCTCTTACTCCTCTTTTTCCTTCCTCCCCCCCTCCTGCCTCCTCGTCCTCCTCATTCTCTTCTTCTCTCCTCGTACTATTCCCCTTTTCCTCCTCCTCCTCCTCCTCCTCCTCCTCCTTCTCCCCCCCTCCCCCTCCTGCACTCCTCTCCCAGCCTTCCTTCCTCATGCCCCCCCGTCTCCCTTTGTCATTCTGCCTCCTCATCCCTCCTCCTTCCTCCTATCCTCCTTCTGCCTCTCCCTCCCTCCCTGCTTCCGTTCCTCCCTCAGTTCTCCGTCCTCCTTCCATCCTTCTTCTCCGTCCCAGACATAAAGGCATTCGGCACACATCCCGCTACCGTGCCTGGGTCGGGGACTTGAGGCCTTCGGGAGACATCTTGGGGTCTCCTTTGGGGACCTGGGGGGGGTCTCTTGGGCACCTGTCAGGACTTCTTGGAGACCTCTTGGGCCCGTCTCGCCCCCCTCCAGCGTCCATCTCTCCGACTCTGGCGCCCATCTCTCCGACGCCGGCTCCCAAGTTTCCGACTCCGGCGCCCTTCTCTCCGACTCCGGCGCCCAACTTTCCCACTCCAGCGTCCATCTCTCCGACTCCGGCTCCGACTCGTCTTCTGAGGGGCCCCGGCCCCCCCGCGCTGCCCTCACAGGCCTGGTCCCGCTGGACCGACATCGCGCGCTCGCCTCGCCTCGCCTCCCCCCCTTCCCGCCTCGTCCTGTGTCCTCCTCTGCGCCTTGGGCGTTCACGCGTGCCCCTGCAGCCGTGGAAGCAGGGCTCCTCGGAGAGCCGAGAGCTTATCGTCTTGGCACCTGTCAGGAGGGAAAGAAACACACAGACACAATGAATCGCCGCTTCCCGAGAAAATATGGGAAAATATGGGACGTGGGGGGGAAGACAAACAAAACAAAACATATGGGAAAATATGGGGAAACCTTTCAATTGTGTGTATTTATTTGTGTGTCTCAGGGCCCCTTCAACCTGGCCGAAGCGAGAGAGGAGTGCACCCCCTTCGTCCCCTGACATCGGGCGAGTTCTGTTCCACTCCCGGCGTTTGGCTCTGCCTCTGTGGCCCTCGGGCTCCAGAACACAGTTAGACATGGGACATGGATCCGGGATGAGGAAGCATCGTCGGATGTCTGGGTCTGCCCCCCTCCTCATGCACTCTCCCCCTCCTCCTATTCTGCCTCCCTCTCCCTTCTCACCCCTGGAGGAGGAACAGATTGCAGGGTGAGGAAGTCGCAGACCGCCCTACCGACCCGTTTCGGGGTGCGACAGGGAGGCGTTATTTATCAGAGTGAGGGGGCCGAACCGGCATTCACTGTCTCTGGACGTGTAGTTGAAGTGGGTTCTGCGGTGCGGATTGTTGTTGTTGTTGGTGGTTGTGGTGGTGGTGGTGGTGGTGGTGGTGGTGGTGGTGGTGGTGGTGGTGGTGGTGGTGTTGGTGGTGGTGTTGGTGTTGCTGCTGTTGTTGGTGTTGCTGGTGTTGTTGGTGTTGTTGGTGCTGTTGTTGAACTCTCACTACTGAATGATTATTGTTGATCCCCCTCAGGTCACATTGTAGTTGTTCAATTGAAGTGCCCTCCCTCCCTGGGGCTCGCAGCCTGTTTTTCATCAGAGAAGGTCTTGGGTGTCAGAATTGGGCCCCTGACCCCCGAGTTACAACAACAACAACAACGACAATCATTTTAAGACTGTTCGCTCCTATCTGCTCACGTGCCACTCAGAACGTATATCCCAAACCCTCGGTACCCGCCCTCGTCGTCTTCGATCGTACCCCCTTGGGGGTCTATCTTCCTTACCTGCCACGTATATTTAGCGCAGCCCCTAAAACAAGGGAAGAGAGGATGGGTGGAAGGGGGAGGGAGAAGAATGGAGCACGAGAGAAATTAGCAGGAGGGGGCAAGGAGCAGAGAACAAGTGGTAGAACCAGACGGACAGATCGGGTGGGCACACCCATAGCGGGCAGGTCGGGAAGGCAGGCCCAGGCGACGAGGTCGAGCAGGCGGGTTGCTGAAGCGTGGGTCCTGCATGGATCGCGAGGAAGTCTCGAGCGATAGCGCGATTCCCAAGTAAATCGTGAGAAAAGCCAGCGTGGACCACGAAGTGCATAAAATCCGAGGCCACAGAGGGCAGCGACGGGGCCGCTGAGGGCAGCAAAGGGGCCACGAAGGGCAGCGAGGGGGCCACAAAGGGCGACAGCGGGGCCACGACGGGCATGCATACGGGGCCACGACGGGCGCGAACGAGCGGGGGCCACGAAGGGCATTCGTACAGTCAAGACGCTGAAATAAGGAACAGTTTGGAATCAGAAGGGTCTCGATGTTCCTTAGATTCCTCCAGTGCTGTTCCTGTTGCCCTCCTGGGGCACGGAGGCGCTTACAGCGCCGAAAAAAGGGCTTCGTTCCTTATTTAGCGTTCCTTCTTTCAGCGGCCCGATTGTATACGGGGCCACAAAGGGCGACAGCTGGGCCACCGAGGGCAGCAAAGGGGCCACGAAGGGCAGCAAAGGGGCCACGAAAGGTGACAGCGGGGCTACGAAGGGCATGCGTTTGGGGCCACGACGGGCGCGTGCGAGTGGGGGCCACGAAGGGCATATAATGCGGGGCCACAAAAGGCAGCGACGGGGCCAATGAGGGCAGCAATGGGGCCACAAAGGGCTCCGAGCGAAGGCGAGCACGGAACCAGTACGGGCAGCGAGGGGCATCAAAGGCGGGCGAGGGGCAGCGAGCGGCGACTGCAGTCATTAACGAGCTGGTCGGGCGGGCAGGCCCCGATGGGCGGGTCGAGCGGGCGTTAAAGCGTGAGTCCTGCTTGAACCGGCGTGCAATATGTAGCGGGAGCGCGATTTCTGAGTGTCGAGGACCGGCATTTGAACAAATTGTGAGGAAATATCAAGCGAAGCGTTTCGGTGGTAAGTTGCGAGGAAGTCCCAAGCGAGAACGCGATGTTGAAATGAACTGTCAGGAAGTATCAGGCCAGGGGGGGTATCGAGGGTTTGGGATATAGGTGCTGAATGGCTGGCGAGCTGATAAATCGGAAAATGATCGTGTTGTTGGTGGTGGTGTTGGTGGTGGTGGTGGTGTTAGTGGTGTTGTTATTGGTGGTGGTGGTGGTGGTGGTGTTGGTGTTGGTGTTATTGTTGGTGGTGCTGGGGTTGGTGTTGTTTTTGGTGTTTGTGTTGCTGGTGGTGGTGGTGTTGTTGGTGGTGTTGTTGTTCGTTATGTGTTGTGTGTTTTGTTGTCGTCGTCCCCCCCGCGACCCCCCCGCGACCCACCCGCGACCCACCCGCGACCCACCCGCGACCCACCCGCGACCCACCCTGCGACCCGGCCGCGACTGACCCGCGACTGACCCGTGACCCACCCGCGACCTACCCACGACCCACGAGCGACCTCCCCGCGATCCGGCCCGCGACCCATCCCCGACCCACCCGCGACCCACCCGCGACCCACCCGCGACCCACCCCGCGACCCATCCACATTGCTTTAAAGAAAAGCGGCGACTGCGGCGAGATCGTTGTATAATTTGTAAGAATTAGGCGCTTGCGGCTTGCTTCATCAGAGACTCGCAGACTGCCGACGTCCCCGCCGCCCCCGCAATTGCGGGTTGCTACGTAAGGAAAGAGGACGGAGGAAGAGGAGGAAGAGGAGGAGGAGGAGGAGGCACTCTGGGGGAGAATGGGGGAGAGAGGGGCGGAGGAGGAGGAGGAGGAGGAGAAGAAGAAGAACAAGGAGAAGGAGAAGGAGAAGAGGAGAAGGAGGAGGATGAGAAGGAGGAGGAGGAGGAAACTAGGAGGAGGAGGGAGAGGAGCGCGAGCAGGATAAAGATGGTGGACGGGCAGACGGGCAGAATACAGGAGCACATGAGGAGGAGGTGGAGGGGAGGCGGAAGAAGAGGAAGAGGGACAGGAGAGGGCGGAACAGGAAGCAGGAGGGTGAGCGGGGACGAAGAGCGCCAGCAGAGAGGTAGGGGATGGGACGGAACAGAAGGAGGCAGACGAGGCAGAACAGCGCCAGCCTGGCGTGTGCGGCCCACCCACGGCCACCGGGGGGTGGCCGCGACCACGGCGGCGACCAAGACGACGACGGGAGACAACGGCGGCGGCGACGACGGCGGCAGAGGCGGCGACGGCAGCGGCGACGAATCTCATCCGTTGCTGTAACTTTTCCGCCAGCAGACGCAGCGGGGGGGGGCAGCCCCACTGGCAGCAGCAGGAGAGGCAGAAGCAGCAAGACAAGCAGCACGAGGAGCGGGAGGGGGGATGGAGGTGTGGGTGGACGTGGTGGAGGAGGGCGACGACGAGCAAAGGCAGAAGCATCCCGGCTCGGCGTCAGCGCCTGCGTCAGTTGTGTCGGTGGCAGCGCGGGAGCAGCAGCGGGAGGGGCTCGGTGAGGCATCTGCAGGCTGCTCTCGCAGCCGACCCCGGCAGGAGGACAACGCGTCCGTCTTCCTGCGCGAACTGAGGACCGCGAGCCGCGGGTGCCGCTGCCGCCCGCTGGCGCCTCCGAGGCTCCTGGCTGCTGCCGCTGCTGCTGCTGCTCCTCCTCCCCCCTCGTCCCCGCCTCCCCCTTTCCGATTCATGCTTGGTAGCGTCCGTCTTGCGAGAACGGCGGTTCACGGCAAACTCGATTCAGTGCGAAACCAGGATTCCGGATGTCTGTTTTTTTTTTTCTTGCCCTTGGTCGTGGGACGTGCCGGTCTCGAGGCGCGCCACTTCCAGATTCTAGATTCCTCCCATGTCTGTTTTCGTTTGAGATACCAGTTCCAATTGGAACGGGGAGGAGGGGAAGAAGGAGAAAGTGGAAGAAGGATCAAGTCTATATTTGTCCTGCCTCCTCCTGCCTTTCTTTCTGGTGGCGCGAGCCCCCAAAGAACAGTGAGGAGAAATGAGAAGGGGAAACATTGGTGCATCCTGTCGGCACCACTTCGCGTCTCGCCATTAGTGGGACGGACAGGATGTAACAAATGGTGCTCGGCTTTTGCGTGACTGCTCTGGCCCTTGCTCTCTGTTCAGTTTGTTGCTGGTCAGTCCGCCGATTGGTCTAAGGGCGCGCTCCTTACACGAGTCCAAATTAATGTCCTTTCGCCCCTCCTCCCTTATCCTTCTGGGCTCGTCGTCGTCATCATCCTCATCCTCATCGTCATCATCAGGCGGGGTGAGCTGTGGAGCACTCGAGGCGAGAGGATCGTCAGCACGCTGCTCCGCCACATCCAAGCACTCGAAGAAACCACGATGTGGGCCAGTATCGACGAAGAGCAGCAGGGTACCATGCTTGCCGCTGGCGGCCCTGGCGAGGGAACAGCATGGACAGCCATCGCTTAGAGGAAGGACGACATGCCGCTCCCCTGCCTTAGGGGCTGCACGAAATACGCGTTGCAGGTACTTACGGAAGACATGCACACCCAAGGGGGTACGATCGAAGACGAAGAGGGCGGGTATCGAGGGTTCAGGATATACGTGTTGAGTGGCACGCGAGCAGATGAGAGCGAAGTGTCTTGAAACGATTGTTCTTGGTGGTGGTGGTGGTGAACTCTCACTGCTGAATACTAGTGATCTCCGATCTGGCTCAAGGCCTGCGCGGGAGCCGGCGCGTGGCCTGCCCTGCCAGGAGGCCGCGCACGGGAGGCCCCCCCCCCCAGGAGATCACATCCCCCTCCCGTCCCTCCTCCCTGCCCCCCGCGCGTTCCCCGCCACGGCGCTGGCCAGCGCTCGGGAGTGTCCCTCGCCAGGCGTCCTGCTGGCGCGAAGGCGCCCGCTGGCGATACCGCCCCGCCGGGCCGCGGCGGGGTCCCCGCCGCCGCCCGCGCCGCGCGGGGCGCCGTCAGCGCCCTCGCGGCTCGGCCCTTGGCCGCGCGTCGCCGCGGCGGCGGCCGCCGCGGGAGCGAGTGCGCTGGTTCGGCGTGCCACCGCCGCGGCGGCGCCGTTCGCGGACGCTTGCGCCGCGGCGTACGTCGTCGAGCCGCACGCGAAGTGCAGTTTCGGCGGTTACGTCGATGTCTTCGACCTGCGAGAGGCGCTGGGCAACCCGGCGATGGGCTCGCGGTTGCGGGCGGACATGGCGACGCGGTGCCGTCGCTGAGCGGGTGATCAGCTCCACGTGCGGGTTTTCTGTCGTGTTCATGAGTGGTTTCGTCTACCTCGTGGTCGTCGCATGGACCTGGGGCTACGGATGGGTCGTGCACCTGTTCGACGTGGGGGTCATCGGCCTCGCGGGCAGCGGCATTGTGCACCTCACCAGGGGCGTCAGCGCGGTTGCTGGCACCGTCGTGCTGGGCCCGCGCAATGGCCGGTGGACGAACCCAGAGGAGCCCGACCCGCACAATTTGCCACTCGTCATGCTGGGAACCTTCATCCTGTGGTTCGGCTGGTATGGTTTCAACTGTGGCTCCACCCTCGGGATGGACGCGGCTACGTGCAAGCTGACCGCCCACGTGGCCATGAAGACCACCATCGCCGCGGCGACTGGGGGCATCGTGGTCTTCTTCCTCCGGTCCGCCATCTACAGGTACTGCGACGTGAGCGGCCTGTGCAACGGCATCCTGGCCGGCCTCATGTCGATCACGGCGTCGCGCGGCAACGTGGAGTCCAGCAGCGCGCTATCGATCGGATTTGTCGGCGCTTTCGTGTGCCAGCTCGCCTCCATGCTGCTCCGCAAGCGCAAGATCGATAACACGGTGGACGCGGTCCCTGTCCACGGCGCCTGCGGCATCTGGGGCGTGATCGCTGCGGTCATCTTCGACATGGGCCTGGACAAGGGCCACTTCCACGGCTGGAGCGGCTTCAGTTGCATGACCACCGACGGCGGCGATTGCCAGGAGGGTTTGTCCAGCGATGCATCGCAGCACGCCTCATCATGATCGCCGTCATTGTGGTCTGGTTCAGGTTCCTCTCCGGCGTCTTGTCCCTGCTCAAGTTGACTGGCCTCCGGCGCATCGAAGACGCCACGGAGCCGCTCGATCTCGAGCCATACGACGCCATCGGCCTCCCGTCCGATGAGCTCTTCGACATACCGCCTCGTGCAGTCCAATTTCTAGCCGTACGACGCCTACGGCCAGTTCCCTGAGGTTTTCTCTTGGAAGTGATAATCCCTCCCGTTCCACTGGGTTGGTGTTAAGCCCGAAATGAAATAAAACAACTGTCTACTCAAAGCACCATGGAGGTTTGGGGTGAACCGCATAAGCCCCTGTTTCGAACTACGGCTTGAATTTCATAGGCCGCCCCCGCCCTGCAGACAAACCGTGGGGTTCGGGCGAGCACCCGTTACAGTCAATCGGTGATTCAATTGTGGCAGTCCTGACAATGGGACGTCAGAAGCACGGAGTATGCCACAAGCAGAGTCATTGTTGCCAGGAGACTCCTGTTCCTCCCCAGTCCTACTGGTGCCAGGGCAAAGCGCTCGGCAACCGGGGGCGGCTACCGCGCCAGAGCCCTGGCGCCGTCCCGTCCGCGCCGGCCGCGCGTTGCTGCCCATCTGCCGTACCAGGCGGCTTGTTTTGGTGCGGCCGCCACGTTTCAGCTTCATTTTGCCGTGTTGTCTTCGTTAGTCACCGCCTCCACGGCCGTGCATTGTCGGTCTCACGGCGTTGGGAACTCACGCTATTCGTAGCCGCGTGCCTTCGCCCTTTGAGATTCCTTTTTGTTCAGTCGTTTGTTCCCAGCTCCTGAGCATATTGTACGCTGCCCCCCGGCGTGTGGTTCAGGAAGTGTGGCCGTGGCGAGCTTCGGCTTTCGCCCGCCCTGCCCGCCTTGCCGGTGCGGTTTGCGTTGTGCATGCTGCTCCCAGCGTGTCCGGCTGTGCTTGTACAGCTCGTGTCTCGTGCCAGTCGCTTCTCGCATGGCGGCCGCATTAGGCATCTCGCTTCTCTCTCCTCCCTCCTTCCCCTTTTGTATAATATGGTTGAGCGCTTTCATTGTACACGACAGCTTGGTTTACCGGGCGTTGTCTTGATAAGTTTTCCCCCTCCTCTTTGCTTTTGCCTTCATCGTTTTAGTGTATGTGTTTTTTTGCTCTGGTTGCATCCCGTCCCCACGCACGGCTTTAGCTTGAAACGGGGAGCTCTACACGACGGGGTCGATGCACGTGTAAAGGCGTGCGCCCGTGGAGTAATTGCATCACATTGCCTGATTCGAGTTCTGCGCGTTTCATTTTGACGCTGGGCGGGTGGATTGTCAGGTGGCTGCGTTTTCCTTTTCCGAGAGGAAAAAAATCAAACAAAAAAAACTAATGATTTCCGATCCCCCCCCACCGGTGCACATTGCGTTTTTCAATTGAAGGGCCCCTCTCGGGTTCGCAACTGTCGCTCACGACGGGGAGTTTTCCTGCTCAAACTCGCCGTTGGGCCCCGAACTGAACAACAACGGCTCCCGCCTGATACTTCCTTACAAATTGTCCAAATGATTCAAGCGCCGCGCCTTCGACACTCAGGATTCACGCTCTCGCTTTGGCTTTTGTTCGCGATTTTCTTGGGAATCGTGCTATCGCTCGGCACTTCCTTGTGATTCATGCAGGACTCACGCTTCAGCAACCCGCCTGCTCGATTTGGCCGCTTGGGCCCTGCTTTCCCGACCCGCCTGGTAGGGTCTGTCCACCCGACCTGCCCGTCTGGTCCTGCAACGTGCTTTCTGCTCCTAGCCCCCCTCTTGCTACCCTCTCGTGCTCCATTATCCTCCTTCCCTCTTGTCCTTTCCTTCCATCCGTTCTCTCTTCCCCTGTCTTAGGGGCTGCACGAAACACACGTTGCAGGTAAGACAGATATATACCCCCAAAAAGGGTACGATCGAAGACGAAGAGGGCGGGTATCGACGGTTTGGGACATACGTGTTGAACGGCCCGCGAGCAGACAAGGGTGATCAGTCTTAACATGATCGTTGTTGTTGTTGGTGTTGGTCCTGGTGGTGGTGTTGGTGTTGGTGTTGGTGTTGGTGTTGGTGTTTTTAGTGGCGTTGTTGGTGCTGGTTGTGTTGTTGGTGTTGTTGTTGGTGGTGGTGATGTTGGTGTTGCTGGTGTTGTTGGTGGTGGTATTCTTGGTGATGGTGGTGTTGTTTTAGCCGAGTTTTCATGTAAGCATTGTTGACCCCCCCTCCGGTGACCATTTTCATTTGTTCAATTGCAGTGCTTCTCCCGGTGTTCGCACCCTGTTTTTTACAAGAGAGAGAGAGAGAGAGCGTCCGTCTCAATAAACCAGCGGCCCCGCTCGAGACATCCTCCCGTTTTACCTTGGACACGCGCGCTACTCTTTCTCTCATCGGTGCCGCCCCCCAGCAACAACAACGCTCCCGCCTGAGGCTTCCTCCCGTTTTTTACGCAAGGCGGTGCTTTTGCTCGCCGCCGATAGCCCCCGTCCCGGCAAAAACAAGCGTTCCCGCCCGAGGTTTCCTCCCGTTCTACGCTGGACCGGCGCCCTTTTCTCTTCCTCCTCCTCCTCCTCCTCCTCCTCCTCCTCCTCCTCCTCCTCCTCATCATCATCATCATCACCACCATCATCATCATCATCCTCATCAACATCAGCATCAGCATCATCATCATCATCATCATCATCATCATCATCATCATCATCATCCCTCCTCCCCCCTCCCTCCTCTTCCTCCCTTTTCCTTCCTCCACCCCTTCCTCTTCTCCCTCTTCCCTCCTCCGTCCCTCGTTCCTCCCTCCTCCCCCTTTTTCTTCCATTTCCTCCTACTCCTCGTCCTCCCTCCTCCTCCTCGTTTTCCTCCTCCTCCTCTTCCTTCTCCTCCTCTTCATCATCCTCCCCCCTCCTTCCCCCCTCTCTCTTCTTCCCTCTTCCTCCCTCCACACCCTCCTCTTGTCCCTCCTCCCTCTCCCGTTCCTCTTTCCTCCCTCCTCCTCCCTCCTCCTTTCCCTTTTCGTCCCCCTTGCCTCCTCCCTCCTCCTGCCTCCGTCCCCCTCCTCCCTCCTCCCTTCCCCTTCCGTCCTCCCTCGTCGCTCCCGTTTTCTATATTGCCTCACATGTTACTCATGACTGGGGTTCTCGTTCCGGCATCGCCCCTGGGGGGCTTCCAAGAGTCCCTTGTTGAACCTATCATCATTTTTGGAGAACTGATAATATGGAGGAGGAGGAGAAGAAGGAGGACGGATGATTTCCAGGGACTCCGAGGATCGAGGGCCGAAGGCTTGACTCCAGGGATGTCTTGAGAGGGCGTGGAAGACGCAGGTGGAGGATGCGAGCATGGGGGCGGCAGCGCCTGGGGGCGCGAGCGTTCAGGGTCACGCGCCGAGGCCGCAGGATGGCGGCGCAACAGTTCGATCGAGGAGTAAGAACCACTTCGTCTTCGGAGGTACTGCTACTACAAGTACTCCTTCCTCCCCCATCCTCCTCCTCCTCCTCCTCCTCCTCCTCCTCCTGCTCTTCCATCCTCCTCCTCTCCCTCCTCCTCCTCCCCCTCACATTGTCCCCCTTCCTCGCCCTCTTCCTCCTCCGCCGAGATGCGGGTCACGCGCAAGGCGATTGCGACGGCGATGCGCCGTCCGAACTGTGGATGGCGAAGTTCCTCGGGAGAGGTGGTGGCAACGCTTTCTTGGGCGGGAGATCTGGGCGAGGGAATGTCGGACCCCGCGTGCCAGAAAAAATCCCCCGTGGTGGGGTGCGGCATCCAGGACGACGCATGTGGCACGTGGAAGCATGGCGCACGATGGGGAAGCGGGTGTCGTTGTCGTTGATGTTGTAATGGTGGAAATTTAGTTTTCATTTTCTAACGAATCATGATTGTTGGCCCCCCGCCCCGGCAGCCGCGCTGCATTTTCCCACGGCAACGTTTATCCAGGGGCGGACGCCCTGTTTTCTAAAAGAGAAGAGTCGGCGGAAGCAAACTGAACAAACAACAGCAACCATCAGTGCACCCTCATGCGCGATGTTTCCACGTGAAGCCTGCGACCATCCCGGTAACCATCCCCATCAGGGGGACCCTTTTGAAAGGATAAGCGGATGATTTCGATATGGAGAATGTTTTCCTGGGCTCGAGGCTCAAACCGGCTTGAGCCAAAATGGCTACGGTGCGAACAAAGGATTCTCACAAGGGATTCTCACAGCCCCCTCTCAGATCTGACTCTCATCAGATACCTTTTGGAGGCAGAGCTGGTATAAAAAACAGTACGTTGAATCATGTACCTCACCGTGTCGTTATATGATGCCACAGATTACGGTCGGGATAATTGTTTGATTTTCGATGCTACAGTTTTCAACACACGCGCGGTTGAGGAAATGTTCTGAAGGTAACTGACGTCGGTCAAGATGTCGTTCACCACTGTGTCCTCGCTCCTGAGATCGCTGGGAGACCTCTGCCTCGACTCAATGTTTTTGCTTGGAGATCGGCGCCTGGAGCGCGACCGGGTGCGGTCACGGACATCGCCGGTTGCTGAGTCTGGCCTGCTTTTGCTGTCTGCCACACGGCTGCTCGCCAGAGGTGGCGTCGGAGGCCTTTGGGGCGTTGGTGAACGCTCTCGCCAAGCCTTTGTCTGATTGTACTCAAGATACTCTGGTCCACTACCACAGTAACGCACCGGGCAAGAATTATCAATCTTTGTTGATTTCTTTGCACCGTAACCGTGTAGACCGTGCGCGGTGCTCAGGTGATGTACCATGCGGTAGGAAAGAGTACCTTCAACTTTTCCCTTGCCGGTTGCGCTGTCAGCCGGTACTTTCGCATAGTATTCCGTGCAATCAGGGCATTTCTTAAAGCACCATTTCACACTTGGTGACAACATACTGTCTCAGAAACACACAAAACGTGAATGCTTGAGCCAGCACGTCTACGGAGCATTATGCATAGATGCCCAACCGTCGCTTTAGCGTGGAAAGCCTCGCTCTGTCAAGGTACTTTGTTCCAATGTCTGAAATGTTATCTGCTATTGTTACCTTTGAGATATTTATGCGCTTGGCTTGCGCGAGCTGCTGCACATGTAAAAACTTAATATCGACATGCTTCAACCTTCCTACGCCGAGTCTCGATGCTATGGCCCTGCCTGCGCTGCTGTCTGATTTCACATTGGCCGAAGTTTCATACCCGAGCTCTCTGATCAACGATTGCGCATGCAATGCCTCTGCGGCGCCGGAGGCTATAGCATATAGCTCGGTTTCTCCGCTGGACTGGGCTATCACGCTCTGTGTGCGGCTGTAATTACATAGAACGCACGAGCCCCACATGACAACTCCAGCAGATGTGTTTTTCCTCGTTCGCTGGCACCCAGCCCAATCCGAGCCTACATAAACTGTCACACATTCGGAGAGCGAATCGCACCTAAGATGCAAATGTTCGTTGCTGGTGCCTTTCAAATACCGCAACAAATGCTTCAGCGTGCGGACATCTCTCTTCGTAGGCGATGCAAGTTGCCTCGCCAATTCTTTCACTGAAAATTGGATGTTTCCTCGTTCCTGACAAATGAACTGTAGTTTGCCTATTGCACACCTGTATTTATGATGTTCGACCTTATCCAAAATCACCAATTCCTCTCCGACAGAGCCCTTGACGTGAGGGGTGTCTTTCACACCGGGTGTGCTCACAGGGGTACAGTGCAACATGTTATAGATGTTCAGTGTGTCATCGATGTATTTTTTTGTCAGGAAAACATTGATGCCACCGTCACGTTTCACGTACATCCTTCCGAGGTACTTCGTGGGAACCTCATCGTTAAAACGATCACCACGCTTGAACCACACATGTTTTTTGAGCTGTCCGAAAAACTCGTCTATCTTAAATTTGTCTCCTACTGCAAAGGGATCGTCGACGTGTATTGACACTCGCACACCTGTTTTTCTATTCCAAAACATTTGTGGGTCTGTCAAACAGCGATCAAAACCAAGATGGTCTGTCAACACAGTAGATATAAAGTCTTGGAAGTTTTGCTGTGCTTTTCTCACGCCATTCATGGCCTTGTTCATCTTCCAGACCCATCCGTGGTACCGAGAACGCCAAGGTTCTGGCGGGCGGCAGAAAACGTTTTCATCTGATATGTTTGCGTGCATAAATGCAACACTGAAGTCCCCGATGCATACGTCAAGTTTCTCTGCCATTGCAATTGCTAACAAAATGCGAAGTCCAATGGGTGTTGGCGTTGCGGCGAAAACGTCGTCTCTGTTACTTGCGATTTTTAGATTTTTTGCAACGAGCCTCGATCGCATCTCATCTCCTTTAGCTTTGTGCACCCAACCTGTTTCGATCGGTTTACTCAAGGCTTTATCTTCCCGCACCCAA